TTATGGAGAAATATGAAACTTTAAAGGGCCCCAGGGCCTCACTCTCTAATTATTCCCTTAAAAAGTTTCCTGCACAACTTCACGTTACGCTCTTTCCAATGACACCAAAAACATGACAATCGGTTCAGTAGTTTCGGAGGAGTAATTGTCACAAAAAAACTGCTTGCGTATTAAATAAGTACTAGTTGCTCTGCCCGTGCTTCGCTACGGGGTAAGAATGCAGAAAAGAATAATTAGGTTTTACTTTAAGATGCTATGAGAAACAGTTACAACACACTTACCAGGAAACATATAGGCAAAGGCTCAATCCTGCTTATTGATTATTTAAATTAAGATCTCTTAATGTATTACAGTATTATCATTTTATATAGTGTGTAGAATTTAAAATATATGCAAAAGTATAATTCATTGACCACATGGCACCAAGAAACAATTCTCCTTGTAAACAAATTAAATTAAATAGCAGAACAGCATTTCTGACAACAGCTGTAGTTTCATAACAATGTTTGTTTCCCTTGTTAATCTTATGGAGAAATACGAAATTTTAAAGGGCCCCAGGCCATTAATATTACATGAATATTTATGAAATATTGCAACTTTTTTGTTAAAAATGTCAATATTTCAAAATAAAAATATGAAAATGAAAAACGGATTGTGACATATCAAATGAAAAATAAATTTCACCAAGCATTTCCTTTTTCATGCTCTTTCATTTGATATGTAACAAGGGGTACCTTGCGATTAAAAAAAATTAAGTTCCGGGGAGGGGGGGGGGAAATGTCTCGCAAATTTATGAACCGATTTTAAATTTTTCCACCAAACATTTTCTTTTTTCATGCTCTTTCATTTGATATGTCACAAGGGGTACCTTGCTAATAAAAAAAAATAAGTTGGTGACAGGGGGGTGGAAGGGGGGGAATGTGAATGTAACGTTGAATTAAAAAAAAATTGTGCCCCCTACGTCAATAGATGATTCCCGCAAACTGAATATTTCTATCTATTGCGGTTTTTACATAGATAAAGATGCAAGTTATAAAAAAAACACCCTCTATAGATAACTAACAATATCTTCGACGATTTCATTCCAAAGCTGTAAATAATATATTTCTGGCCTAAAAACGTGTTTTATGCAGTTAAAACTACCAAGAAAAATCTAATTTCGTAAAATAATGAACTTGAAAGACAAAACTCTCTAACAGTGAGCCTTATGGGTTACTAATTTGGGTTTGGGAACGAAATAACAAACGAAAATAGTTACCGTAACATCAACAAAAGAATAGTTAGTACTCTCCATTCGAGTCACTTGTGTTTTCTCATAATCTCAAACAATATCCCATAGTTACAATTAAAAAACAAAATATATAAATATATAAATATACAGCTGATTATAAACAAACCTAATACAAACCAAAGAGATTTTCATCCATCCTCAGGTAATGTTTAACATATTACAAATAGACTGCAACATTTGATTTGGATGAACGGCAGTGACAAAACACTGCTCTCAGAGTATACTAATGACTTTCTTCGAGCAAAGCTCGGTCCCCAAGTGGTAACGGTAAGAGTGGTCTCGGAAACGGTAAGAGGTACGGCAAAGCGGTTAATATACAGGCCTACTACGTCGGTTCCAGCTTTTAATCAAAAACAATAATGCAGCGTAAAAATTATTGTAAAATTTTAATACGTGCCGCAACAGACGTTTTAAGAAACACATACTTTTTTGTGGGGGGATGTTGAAATGCGAAATTGTCTCTTTTCTGAATTTTCCTCATGGTTTGGGGCAGAGACCTGTCATCGTGCCAAATTTCTACTTCCTAGCCCGTCTAGAAGTGCCCAAACACTTGTATACCTGATCAGTGAGTGAGTTACACATCGTGCTGTATAGTTAATTAGATAAAATCAATTTGTTTATAAAAACACAGGATATTTTGGTAAGCACAAATCCGTTATGAGGACACATATTTGGAATTTATACACACGGCTGTTCAGGGGACATACCCATTTAAAATGTATGGGATTTAGTTGGGAAATTCATTCTCCTACAAGTGTATTGGTATGCCTTTTTTGCCATACACAAGGCTGTTATGAGGACACAAAATGTTATATACAAGGATGTTACGAGGACTGTCTTCTTATTAATAAGAGGACAGCAATTGTCTTCCTAACAGCTTTGTATATAAATTTTGTCCACTTAACAACCATGTACATATCTATATATATATATATATATATGAAACTGAACGGATTGTGTTTTTGGCCTCTGGGGACCTCAAAACCAAAAAGTAATTCGGTCCCGGTTCTAGGTCTTACCATGAGACTATACGCATTTATCCTATGTGGGAAATTCGCTAAAAGGTACCGGGCAAAAGCAAGTCACTAATGAGTAAGATCAGTCCCATTAAAAAATACAAACTTTAAGAGGTACTTAGGCCTACTACTTACATTTAAAATACACCCGCCGCAGCAAACCTGCAGACTAAGCAAATTCCCACTTGTCTGATTACATTTTAACTAAAATATTTCCATAAATAAGACATATTTATTCCCAATTAAAATAGCATTAGATTTAACAAGTGCTTAGGTTTGCTGCTACGGGGAAGGTAAAAAGTGTTTTTGACCATACGTAAATAGTATAGGATGAAATAAATAAATTTGCCAAAATTTTATCAATATAATTATAGTATATCCATAAACAAGTAAACTCCGTATTCAAGAGGGTGTAGGCGCCATGATCAAGGCTGTAATCGCCGAATTGATAAGTTTTCCTTAGTCTAAGATATTGAGAATATGTTCTAACTTTTCAGTAAAGGGGGGGATTAAGGGGTTAGGGAACTATATATTATTTCAGCTTAATATGTAAATTATACTCTAGAGCTCACTCGTACCCATAAGGTACGAGTGGAAGTTTTAATTGTTCTTTTCCTTATTATATTAATAATTAGATGCATAATAATATTAAATCATCAAAATGGCTGTGATATGGATGTGGTTTGGCTCAGTAATTAATTTAAGATCATTATTATTCAACTCAGAATGTTGCTTGCAACACTAGATTGATTATATTGAGCCTTAACGAGCCTATGAGTCCAGTAACGTTACTATAAACTATAGTAACACGCTTCATTATTTTTTTAATAGTATATTTCGCCCTCGCTCATTTTCTGACCTCGGCTTCATCTCGATCGTAAAACTTGACCTTGGGTCAATAAGAGTCACTTTAGGCCCTAGTGATATTTTTCTACTTATTGCATTACAGTATTAACTAGAATTGCTTTCATGGCAATGAAAGCCAGTTGAGCGGAGCAATATCATGTTTAATGTTTTTTAATAAAGCAATAAATAAAAAAATGCTTATAGATATAATACAAAATACAAATTTCCCCACACTCTGCACTCCTAGCCTTACTACATCATTCACCACTTCCTACGTTGTGGACCTGTTTCCCTCTCCTTTCCCATAGCATTTTAATACCGGGTGTCCGAAAAAGAACTAAACCATTTTAAAGGCAAATACTGATACCAAAAATAAGAGACTATGTTGAATGTTTTATATATGTGTTTAAAGCTTATATTCTCAAGTTTTATTATAAACTTAGTATAACTCGATATGAGCACCATTAGTGGCCCGGCATAAATCTAAGCGAAATTTGACCTCTTCCCAGGTATTGGTCAGTACTTCAAGGGATGTTGCACCAACACATGCGACTATTCTCTGTCGGATGTGATTCAGATCCCGAATCTGCACCGAGTAGACATAATTCTTTATTCCCCCAAAGGAACAAGTCCAAAGGAGCCATATCTGGACTCCAGGAGGCCATTGGATGGGCCCTTCCCCTGCCAATCCACCAATCGTCGAAACGAGTATCCAGCGCTTCTCGCACACGCAAACTGTAGTGTGGCGGCACTCCATCCTGTTTAAACGGCCACCTTTAACTCCAGGCCGCGGCCTTCGAACTGGCAACGTCGCAAGTGGTGTTGTAACAGCTGTTTTGTTTGGAAGCAGCTAATGGTATTTTTGTATTTACGAAAGATTGGTTACTGGACAATGACAATATTAACTCCGCTTAAAATGTACGGATATAGATTTTTAATTCATATTGTTTCGGTTTTCAATTCTGTATGTTTTATTTTCAATATTTTAATAAATTTTTGTTCAAAAATTTAAATTTAAATCAATAAAGTGCGAATTAATTAGCTGATGTCACCTATCTGCCATGTTATCTTATGGGACGTCTGTCACTAAACAACACCACTTGCGACGTTGCCAATTCTACCAGGCCGCGGCCTGTAGTTAAAGGTGGCCGTGGTTTAACACGTTGCCTACCAGCCGTTACACTCAGCTGTATGAGGGGCGTTACGAGACGTGGTAGTGAAGAAGCTTATTCAATTCAATTCAATTCATTTATTTCCACGGTAACACCATTTTTACAAGAGGTACAGTAAGTAGTAGCTATCAAACTCAAATTATAACAACAAATAAAGGCTGTCACTATTTCTGTTTGTTAAGTACTGTTCTATTTAAGTTCTGTTACACTTATCACGAAAAGTCGCCATTTGCATTGCGTCAGGAGTTGAATAAAAATTGTAAATTAAAAATTCCCTTGTTTTTCTTAAACTGTTGTAGTTTACTTGTTTATGGATATATTTTAACCAAATTTAGAAATTTTGTTTATTTCACACTAAGCTATTATCAACATTGCAATACAAAAACACACCTTCCCCCACACATGCTGTCCCTGTAGCAGCAAACATAAGTACTTACTAAAATCATTGTTATTTAAATAGGAAATAAATCTGACAATTTTTAGGAAATATTTTAGTAGACATCTGGGTACAAAGCCATGGTAGTCTGCAAGTTTGCTGCGGCGGGGGTATTTTAATTTTGGTCCGTGGTTTTGTCGCTTTCATTCTTCTTCTTCAACTTCTTATTTCTTCATCTTCATTCAATCAAGCAAGAACAAGAAGAAGAAGAAGCTGAAGAATCCCATTCCCAATCCCAATCCATCCAAGTCCCCAAGCCCAAGTCAAAGTACTCTTGCTTTGCGGTTCTCGAAGTCATTGTTTGTTGTTTTGCATTTCTGTATTTAGAGTGAAAATCATTTAACACATCGTAGGGTTTACCGAATCCGTCGAAATGATAAAATAGTTCAGTTCTCTTGCAGTGTAAAATCATAAGTTTGCTTCGTTGATGTACTGTTAAACGCATATTCTTACGATTTTATATTCCGATTTTTGACTGTCCTTCCTACCTAGGAAGCCGACTGCTCAGTGGCTAAATCCACACAGGTAAATATGAATTTAGTTAACGGATTATCGTAGATCTTAATTCATTTGTGGATTTTTATGTGTGAAACCTTTGTGCTGGTTCCAAATCCACTCTTAGTAGACTTAATTGCTTTATTATGTGACGGTTAAAATGGCGGTCTGGATTTCCCGCCATTTTGTACTTTGAATTTAAACCCTTTCTGCCTTAGCCTTACTGCTATTCAGTAATCAGTAGTATTCTTTCAGTCGAATCTCGAATCAGTAGGTTATTCATTGCTGCTGCTGCTGTGCCTTGCCAATTCACATTATTTCAGAGTTGATCTACTATAGGGGACTCATTGTATAGTAGTAGGCCTAAGGTATTACCACACAAGACTAGGCTCTAACTAGGCTACCTCTAGGCAGGGACGTATTTAAGTATCTGCCGCCTATAGGCAACAAAGTTTGCCGCTGCCCCTCCCGCTCCCACTTTTCAACGCACTCCCCGACCTCACTAATATCACTCCAATGGCCAATACATGCCCTGTCAGCTGGTTTTGTAGGAAAATAATTGGTAATATTGCATGCTGCATCAATAAATTTAATAACTTTTCACCACACTATGATGTTTTTAGCTGTTTTACATGCGTTAATTGGTGGCTGAAAGTTACGTTTTGCTGGCCATGCCAGCTGTCATCGTCATTTTTGGACCGAGCAGGTTCTTACATCCCTAGGGCCGCAAAATCAGCTTATCGCTTACTTTTAAAACATGAATGCATATTAAATACAAATCAGTATCCATAGCATTGCAATAGAATTGTTTTATTGTCACCGCTGCCTAGCAACTATTTATTTTAACTTTTGCTGATTCCTCAAATTATTTCTTCACATAACCTTAAAGTTCTAGTTGTGTTGACTATCAGTGTGCATCATTATTGTGGTGAATAGTGCTATTAAGGTATAGTGTGGTGGAAAATAGCGTTCGTACCACAGACCGAAATGGTTTTGCAGCTCTCGATCGTTTTAAGTTGACTTCGTCTCGAACCTAAAAACTATCGAGCCGGCGAAACCTCATTTTCGGCCCTAGGTACGAAATATACTATTTCGACCCCTTTTAACAGACTTTTTTGTGCCGTTTTTTTGCAAAACAGTCTGACTTGGATAGGCCTACACGGAATGCAACTTTTTTTATCTAGGCCTAATCAGTATTTTTACAATTCCGTTTTGCGGCTTGAAATGGCACACAAAATCGCCTGTATACAATGGTTCTTATAACGCTTTTCATTGAACACTATTAGTCAGATCCACTTGCGAGACATGCTTTTGGCTTTGATTTGAAATGAAAGAAATATGTTTTCTTATACTAGGCTATTTATATCTTCCAAAAGCACATGAATCGCAAAGAAAGATTACGTACTAATACTGAAAGAATAATATACAATTTTAAATTAGTTAAGTTTGGTACAGTGGTAAGTATTTAGTTCACACTTTCCTTCTTGATTTTAACCTAGCAAAAGAATCTTTCAGCTATAGTGCTGCCGCTGCGTAGTGGTGTATGAAGTAAACAGAAGGGAGTGTTATCTACGTTTGTCACTACGTAGCGGCCGTACCGGCGACCCGCTCCCGCGGCGAGCGTGTCCGCCAGACCAATAGGGCAGCACGGACAACTCTACACAGCTGTGTAATAAACTATTGACGTTTGTTTGACTTGGATGCGTTCTGAAATAGTTGTATACTTAATCAAAATATTGAAATGGCTAGTTTGCCGTTCCAAAAATTGTTTGCAAAATTTTTTTTGATTAAAACTTTGTTTTTTTATCTACCCTCAAAATGTTGCCGCCCCTAAAATTTGCCGCCCTAGGCGGGCGCCTAGTCCGCCTATTCGGAAATATGTCCCTGCCTCTAGGAATATAAAACCAAATGTTCCATAGTAGCCTATTGTGTGCAATAATCGCAAAAATATACAGTAACTTTACCTAGGGCACATAGGATACAGGCCTAGCTTAAAATTTAATAAACACTTAAAGTTAGGGCAAAACTTTAATATCTGACTCCACCGAATTATAAAATGATTGATTGGATCAATAGGCCTATCTAAACTTAGCCTGATCATAAACCCAATAGCCTACCCATTGTTATTTATACAATACCTAGGCTATTACTTAATTACGACTGAGTTGGATAAGCTACCTATCAAAGTTTTAACTTACAAAGATAAATTTCTATAGGTCTATTACGGACACATGTGATTTAACTAACTTTTAACCTTTTGTGTTCTGAGGTTGTGCAGAATTCAGTGGCGGATCTAGAACAGTCACAAGTGATATGTGTGTAAACTAAGTCTCCAAAATGGCAGTTTTATACCATTTCTTTGTCCAAAGTTAAGTTAGTGTGACAAATAATTTTACGCAATGTGTATGCTCTACTGTAGGCCTATTTTATGCAGTAAAAAAAGTATAATGTACACTTGAGGGGGGGGGGGGTGGTCCCTCCCTTCACCCCCCCTCTGGATCCGCCACTGGCAGAATTACATTCAAGCTTGATCAAGTAGCCTAAGCCTAAGTTAATTTATTAGGCCTTTTAAGCCTTAGGCATAACTTAGCCTACTGAGGCTAAGTGACCTAATTTTTTTTCGCACCACTCTTAAGTTAAAGAAAAATATGTTTAAATTTATTTTTGTACTAAATTTCATGTTTAGGTTACATTTGCCTTGTTTGAGAGTTGGACTATAGGCCACTAAATGCACTCTAGCAGATATGGACCGTGTAACTTAAGCTTGAACTTTAACTTAGCCAAGGCTTCTAATTAGGCTACTAAATGTCCTCCCCATTCATTAACTTAGTTTTTAACTGAACAAAATATTTAGTTATGTTTTTTCAAAATAGGTAAGTTCTTACGATAGTAGGCCTAATTAAACAGATAGGGCCTAGTAGGCCCCCTACCGGTAGAAAAAAATAGACTTTTTGCATTTAGGCCTAAGTTTGGTTACAAAAAGGTACATGTTGAAGTACCGGTACCTCCCAGATCGGTAGTGGGGGAGACAACGACGGAACAGCGTCTCAGTCGTCATCTCCCTAAACTTAGGCTAATATTTTTTAAGCAACGGTTATTTTAATTTTCAAATGTTTCCATTATGATTTGGTTTACTAATTTTTTAAATAGCAACACGGCAGACGCACAGGCAGCACTTGCCTATGTCTGCTGATTTTCTTAAATCAAATAACTTAAATGTTAATACAAAAATGTTTCTTTTTATTTTATAGTTTTAGTTTAAATATTTTTTAATCGCAACGTTAAAAAGTATGTATTTTGTATTCTGTATATTTTGTTTCATATTTTTAGATTTCTAGTCATTTGTACAAACATATATTAAATTGATGAACCTTTTGTATTATTTTAAGTTCATCATACATATTCGGCATCAAATGAAATTTTTAGCTTAATCAAATTTAATTTTTGACTTTCACGTGTGATAACAATGTTAATACTCAAAACCCCACTCATGTTATTATACCATTGGAAAGATAATTTTATTCTCTTTCCAGTGATATATAGTTTTATAGGTTAATCTGGAGAGAGATTTTTGTTATGAAACCTTTTGTCAGTAACTCAATGTTCCGATTTCGGAAAAATCTAATTATTTGTATTTAGGAATTTTTTTTGGGTGATAATAGGTAATAGTTATTATTTCACTTGTGTATGATTCTGCATTAAGTTTTGGATATATAAGTAACATTTGAAGCCCATTTCTTCAAAATTGTCCCTTTTACATAGAAAGATGAGAATATATGCATTTCAGTTTAGCGCAAAAATAAGCCTCGGAAACTGAATTTGTGTGAAACTTAAAATGGCCGTATCTCTGAAGCCCTTGATCAGAATGAGATAAAATTTTGGATTTCTTCTTATCTATATGTATATATTATCTATGCAAAATGTTATTGAAATCAGAAAACCTTGGGTGACAAGTCTACTTTTGGCTGGATGATTTGGCGTGGAATGACCCTATATTATTTGGAAAATAAACATATTATTTCATTCATTCAGTGAGTGTTGTGACTACGTTCATCTTGTCCATTGTCATGTATCAAGAACCACATCAGAGAAGTGGCTGGACCGCAAAATTGGTGCATGTTGAGTCTCGATATTTTACAAATTATAAATGAAGACGAGGTAGAACAAGGTGTACTTGACTATGTGATGGAGTGTGAGAAATGTGGGCAGGAATATTTGCTATGATTGTGAAACGTTTTGCCGGTGCATCCATCTGCAGTTTTGCATTCATCTGAAAGAACAGAAGCCTACTAGCCTACAAAGTGTTTATTAAATATAGTCAGGTAAACTTGACCTCACACAATTTTTCATTTTGATATTCTATTTAAAGTTTTATCCAGGCCTACCTCTTGAATCCTATTACCATCATCATTTTTAACACAAATATGAATATAGGCCTAGGCCTACTAGCTGATCAAATAGGCCTACATTTTTTGGAGGTATGTCATCTACAGTAGGCCTTATGGTGTAACTTGACTTCCACTGTGCTGCTAACTTATGCCTACTTACTTGAGACTGCTTACTGCTGTTTTTCTCCGCAGTCATCAAGATTGGGGGAGGCGCCATCTTTTTCTTTTCTTTTTTCCTTGTTTTCAGGTTTATTTTGGTTCAGGTTTATTTTTCTTTGGATTGTTTTATTGTCTGCAATTGTAGGCTATATGATCTTCTATGAATTAATTCAAGTTGTAAGTAGGAACTTTCCAGGAAAGTTGAGTGGAGAATTTTCTGTCATCTTGAATATTTTTAAGCCGGTTTGGTAATACCTGAGCTGTATAATTTTATTGCTCTAAATGTTGGCATTCTTGCGGTTTTTTACAGTTTAGCCTATGTTGGGGTAAGTCATTTTTTCCTTCTGTTGTTGTGGTTATGGGTTTGTTTAAATTAGTTTTATAGGATCCAGTTTTTTTTTAATTGTTTTTTTTTTATAACATTGTACATTGCCCCCTTTTTTACTCAGTTCTAACTGTATGATAGGCCTACTTAACAAATAAGTCAGTCAGGAATGGGTTGAAAAAATAAAGTAAACATGGACAGTGTGCAACTAAATCTGTGTTGTACTGTCTGTATTCAATAATCATTCAAAATCTTATCAGATCCATACGAGCTGTTTCTCAGTCTCTGCTATGATTACAACATGTGTTTTGTGGTTAGTTTTACATTTGCTTTGTTTTGTGTTTGGAAAGCCGAGTACGATGTCAGACAGCGACGGCAGTAGTCCAGTAAAGGAGAATGGCGCACCTAGCAGCGGCGAGGAGCCCGCGCCCAAAAAGGCTGCACCAGCCAAGAAACTCACAGTTGAGAAGATATACCAGAAAAAGTCCCAGTTGGAACATATTCTACTCAGACCAGATACCTATATAGGTAATGTATCTTAAAATTATATTTTTTAGTTACCCTACTAGGTTTTTATTTAAAAAAATTGTCTTCACTTTGGTAAGACAATAAATTATAAATATTCTCTAAAAATCTGTTGAAGTCTGCAGGCTTTATCAGATTACATAAAGTTCCTTTTCTGTTCATGTTATACAAGGGTTTAGTGTCAACTAAGCCTTTCTATCCCCTTCTTATTAGCCTTATTAACCATTTTAAAACTGTCTGCAACTACCTCTATCTCCTGATACATGTTAGATTTGACTTTGACTTTGAATCCTGGTTTGCAAAACAAATTCAGTTGTCAACCTCTTCAAGCAATACCGGAGGATAACACTAGGTTTAAAATTAACTTACCTTACCTCCTTGGCCACTCAAACCTAAGAAGGTTTTTGGCCTCGCCAACAAGTTGCCTCCACTGCTGCCGGTTTAAAATTAACTTGCCACAGCAAAAATTTGAATTTTTCAAAGAGAAATGTTAAAAATATTCAGTTTTAACCACGAATACTACAGGGTGTCCACGTTCTGGAAAGTCAGGTATAGTCATGGAAAAAAATTATGGTCATTGAAAGTCATGGAAATAGACAAAAAGTCATGGAAATCCCCAATGATGGATGGATTTCAGGGGACCTTTCAATGCTCTAGTCGGCCATAAGCGTGACTATTGTAGCATTTTTCACAATTTTTCACAAATGTATGACAATTTCAATTTATACAGTTGCCTTAGTTTAAATGGGTTTTGAGTTTGTATTAGTTCATTGTTGTACCTATTGTACTCCATTGTTATCTGTTAATACATATTTCAATATTTTCTGTGAAATAACTTGTCTAGGCAGTATTATTCGTGTGTGTACGGTATATTATAATTTTTGAGTTAAGTTCGTGAGTCATGGAAATCAATGGTTAATGGTCATGGATAGTCATGGAAAGTCAGGGAAATTGATGACAAAATTTCTGTGGACACCCTGTACTAGAACAGACCCGTTATAGATCATAAACATAAACAAATTATGTTACTGGCCCAAAAGTAAACATTTTTTAACATTGCTTAAATGGAACTGTTTAACGTTAATGTTATTAGTATAGGATTTGAGCCAAGAGCCAGGGGCGTCATTTGTTTATGTTTATGAGCCATATCGGTCTGTTCTAATATTCGTGGGTTTAACTTTTTTGCAACACCTGCCGGCTCCTATAGAAAGTGAAGGCAATTAAAATAAATTCAAAAGAACACAAATGATTTTTTTTTCATTTTTCATTTTATTCCATAGAAGACTTCAAAAAAGTTAGTAGCTTATATAATTTTAATTTGAGTTCCATAGCAAAATTAGGGGAACAATTTATATTTTCATCATGTGTAAGTAGTTTTTTGTTTTAATTTTTTTTAACCTTGACAATAGATTATATATTTTTATTTTATTTACTGCTCATGTTATTATGATTTCAATAGTTCAGTTACAAATTCCTAACTTTTTAAACATTATTTTGTTGACAGTACGGTACCTAAGTAAATCTTGTAGTATATTTTAAGCACTTTGTAATAGGTATAGCCTATATTTGACCCTACTCGATGCATTTTTTTGTGTATAACGTATAAATAATTATTTGATTTGATGTTCTTAGGGTCTGTGGAGCCTGTAACGGAGACAATGTGGCTGTATGACTCCGAATTGGAAGCAATGGTACAGAAAGACATCACTTATGTTCCGGGGCTCTACAAGATATTTGATGAGATATTGGTCAACGCCGCAGACAACAAACAACGTGATGCCAAGATGGACTGCATCAAAATTGATATTGACCCGTAAGTTATATTGTTGGTTTGTATTTCAGGTAATGAATGGTACCACAAAGAAAGAAGTTTAATGCAACCTACACAATTAATTGCCACTCTGCTTCTTAGCTCGACATTTTCCTAGATCACCCCTTCCAGCCCTGTTTCCCAAGCGTAACTTATTTGCAGATGATACGAATAATATATCGTTCTAGGTACTATCCCAATTCCTATTTGGTACTTGCTAAAACACTTAACATGCCATGGCAATTTTCTTGATTTCTGGAACATGTGGTAGTTGCCCATTACTTCTGTTAACCAACCTCATATTGGCTGAGGTTATGGGTACTTATGCCACGATAATCCACTTATTGTTCTCATTTGAAATTAAATTTTTAAGATAAAAAAAATGTTTTAAAAAGTAGATGTTCTTATTTTTTTTTATTTTAGATTATTTTCAGTAGTTTGTAGCCTAACATGTGCTAACAGGTAGGCTACACTACTATAGCACATGTTAGGCTACTAAACTACTGAATCTGGCTTGTCTCATTAGTTTAACTGTTGGATTTAAGGAAACCCCAGATAGATGGCGTCTCTTGTTATTCATTTCTGATTAATATTTTTATTACACAACGGAAATAGTGATTGTATATGTGAATAAAAATAGCTCAAAAACCTCAAAACGGTTTGTCCCATTTCAAAACTTTCTGAAATTATTTTACAGTTTAACTTAAAGTTTACAGTTTTGAGACAAGCCTGTTTGGCCTAAAGAATAAAATAGTTGTATCAAAATCTCAACTTGTCTTGCAGTTGAACTTTAAACATCCTATTGAAATATCCAATTAAAAACCTGATAGGTTAGAAAAGTAAATCACACATCTTACAGACTTGAGATTTTAACATTTAGATAAGTTGTTTTGTGACTCATAAGCTAGTTTCAGAAATAACTCTTACTTAAGATGTTAAGTAAATTAAGTGAATAAAATGAATGTTTGTGTTCAGAGAGAACAACCAGGTGTCAGTGTGGAATAATGGCAAGGGAATCCCAGTAGTGGAACACAAGGATGAGAAAATGTTTGTGCCTACGATGATCTTTGGCCACTTGCTCACCTCGAGCAACTACAACGACGAGGAGGAGAAGGTGACAGGAGGTCGTAACGGCTTTGGAGCCAAACTGTGTAACATCTTCAGCACCAAGTTTACCGTTGAGACATCCTCCTCGGAGTATAAGAAATGCTTCAAACAGGTACACTGAGAGATTGCCATATATCTTAAAGTTGTTTAATTTTTAAATTCTTTGTTTATTTTATATTTTAACCATGAAAAGTGTGAGCTTCTTTCAAGGTTTCGTTTTAATAACTACTCCTGTGTTCTAGCCGGACAAACTGTAATTTGTAGGTCTTCATTGCCACACTGTACATTCTTCATGTATTGTCCTGACCCACTGCACAATCTTGTAAAACAAGTCAATTGCTTTATCAATTACTTAAAGTGTTCTGTATCTATGAGCTATCGATTGTAGATTGTGATTTTTAATTGTTGCTGAATATTCTCAACAGAAAATTCTGTTATACAGACATGGGGTAACAATATGTCCAAGGCTTCTGAACCCAGAGTAAAGCCGACGTCAAGAGAAGACGAAGATTACACTAAGATTACCTTCTCACCAGACCTGTCCAAGTTCAAGATGGACAGATTGGATGAAGGTACACCTAACTCGTTATATGTGGAGTTTGAGGGATTATTGCGGTCATTTTACATCATGATAAGTAAAAAAAAACTAGTCAAAATTCATCCTATGACTTTCCATCCAGCGGTGATGGCAGATTTTTTATTTCTCTACCGAACCTTTTTCCCTTGTGTTCTTTTTTGTAGTGTAAAGCGGTATCCAGTAGAACTTTATATTTATCCGAATCAACTGGGACTGAAACACAATCGGACAATCAACAATTTGTATAGTCATATTTTTACTGAAATTTGAAACAAAATAGGCTGAGTCGAGCCGAGCTTTTAATATTGCTATCACAGAACATGTCTGCAAAGATTTCACGATATAAAAAATCACTCTTTCACGGGAAACTCTTTCTTTTTAAATAATTTGCATAGTTGTTGAAGTTCTACTATATTTGCCTTGCCTTAATTTTTATATGTGATATAATGTATAGGCTACAACAACCCTCAGGATTTTCCAAATGTAATGTATCAGTATTTTAACTGTGCACCAAACATTACAAAAGTATTGTGCTAAGACTTCCACTTTAATTAATTAAAGTATTGGAAACTGAAAACAATTTGTAAACGGGATTGATCTATGTAAGAAAAGTTTCTGAAGCTTATAATATATTTTTAATAATCAAAATCCCTATAGCATATTTTTTGGTAACTAAAGCATACAAGTTTATTGGTGGTACCAAACATTTAAATTTATTTTACGGTTGGTTTGTGTATGTACAATGTTTCTTAAATTATTGTATTTTGGTACAACAAGGGGTTTCCCACCATGAATTGGTTGAAAGTTAGGATTACACTTGGTTATTGTCATGATTGTGATGTTTATTGTCCAGGTATTGTCTCTCTTATGACCAGGAGAGCCTATGATGTGGCAGCATCTACACGAGGTGTCAAAGTCTATCTTAATGGCAAGCGACTGCCTGTAAGTACATATAAACAGAGGCTTATACACAAATAAAAGATCATAAAGCTTAACACTGATATTATTGTTATAACTATTGTTTCACAAACTAAAACTATACACTGCTATTACTATGTAAGCATGTAATTTAATCAATCAATTACCTTAGCAATTAACTTTATTACCTTTTAAATTAATGTTTTTGGTGATATTATGAGATACACTACAGTGGTTTTATGTTTGTGCAGATCAAGAGTTTCAAAGATTATGTGGAGCTGTTTGTGAAAGGCAAAGAGGACGATATGGGTAATGCCATCAAGATCATCTACGAGAATGTCAATCCTCGGTGGGAAGTGGCTGTCGCCTTGTCTGACAAAGGCTTCCAACACATGAGCTTTGTCAACAGCATCGCCACCATCAAGGTAACAATACTCCTGACAATCACAAATGGATTTTAGCTATTTTAGGCCTGTAGGAAAAACTTTCTTCATATTGGAAATTCAAATTTCCCTTCATTGAACATATAAGTAAAATTTATAATGAGAGATAATAACATCTAAAACTTTGCATCTCAACTAGCCTATTTAGAAACACAATAAAGAAGAAGGAATGAAACACAACTAACTTAGACATACCCAAGAAAAGAGTTCCACACAGTTGATAGCACACAAGTTCACTTCATAACACAATAAACTTGGTGTTGCACATTCAACTTCTTTCTTCTGAAGAAGGCTCTTTTGGGGTAAAATATCAAGTTTATTGTGGTTGAACTTTTATGTGTTCTTTTAACCAGGCCTACCTGGAACTCTTTCCTTTGGAAAGTTAGTTGTATATCCATACCTTTTTCCTCATTGTATAAATTATAATGTTAACGTTTTATATAAGTCTAGAACAAATTCACATTCAAATACAACACTATATGTTGTAATGTAATTTTATATTAATATATTGATATTGTAATATGTTATATTAAGTGAGCTTCTGTAAAATAAGACAGAAACTATTCTGTATTTTCTGTGTAAGGTTTCACACGTGTAAGGCAATTAAAGTCCATGTAGGCTACACTTTTACAGAACGTTTTGTATACCAGGGCGTGCTTTGGTCTACACCAAACTCACTGTAAAAGATGATTTATTTAATTATTGAAAGCTTAATATACTCACAAATACTACACTTTTTCCCATACAGTACTGAAGTCAATAATGACATCAGTCCTTTATTGAGACAGGGGAAAGCGATAGGTACTCTAAATGCATACATTTTTACATTTTCCTTGTTTTTAAATTAATTTAATGTGGTGTTTTGTTACAGGGAGGTCGTCATGTTGATCATGTAGCTGACTCCATCGTTAAACAGCTGATAGAAACCATCAAGAAGAAAAACAAAGGTGGCATGCAGGTAGAGTAATACTAGACAAGTTGAATTCTTGGTTTAACCTGGAAACTGTGTAATTATCATACACAAAATTCACACAGTATTTTGTATAACTAGGAACAATTATTTTTAATCTTTAGAAACAATGGTTACTGTTAAATCTACTTTCTGTTTTATAACCAATTGTGGTACTACAACTCTTTCTTTATAACTTTATTTCTTGAGGTCATACCTCTATGAGGACATGCGGTACTAACTGCAATTTATGTGGTTACAGGTAAAGCCATTCCAGATCAAGAACCACATGTGGATCTTTATCAACTGTCTGATTGTCAACCCGACCTTCGACTCTCAGACCAAAGAGACAATGACATTACAGGCCAAGAACTTTGGCTCCAAGTGTACACTCAGTGAAAAGTTCATTACCACTGTGAGTATCACTGTTGTATCCTACTTAGTCAACATTCATGTAAATCAGCATCAGCCATTAGATGGATTGTAAAGGTAAACCATTGCCGTTTACCAGCTTTTCAAGGTTAAGACCTTGTTGAAGCTGTGCTAACTTTGATTATAAGGATTAATTAAACTTGGTAAGAACAGGACAGATTTTTGTAAAGCTTTTATTTTTTATTAGACTTAAGAATTTGTCACAAACGCTGAATGTTTAAACAGCTGTTAAGTTAAGCAAATGGTATTATACGAAAAGCTTGTCTAGAATGTTGGCGTCAGCTCCTAGACTTAAAAAAAATTAAAACTTAATAAAACAAAACTGAATCCCTAAACTAAATTATGGCTTTGACATTCCCTAGTTCTCAAAACTATCTTTCTTTCAACACAAAAATGACGAAAATCCATCAAGTGGTAGATTCGTGAAATGAAAAAACCCAGTCTCGTTTTAATAAAAATGAGTTCTAGAGTTGTTTCTTGTTTCATGAGGCTATGGTTAAAACTTGTACTATCTAGTATCTAATGTATGATAAATAAGCATGTGTACACGTGATGTTGGAACCATATGAATGGCCAAGTATTGAGCAAGAGAGAGCCAACTACCTGTACTTAGTTTCTGTGATGAACAGGATATGATTTTTTTTATAGGATGTTTACAAAAATATGAAACATATCTTTTCCAATTTTCATCATGAATCTTCAGCTAAATGATTACGTGGTACTAGTATCACTCAGTGCTTTTCTAACATTTGTACTTGTTTTTCAGGTAACCAAGTGTGGTATAATTGAGGCAGTGTTATCTTGGGCCAAGTTCAAACAGCAGAACCAGCTGCAGAAAGCCTGCAGTGGGAAGAAACAGAATAAGCTCAAAGGTACATTATTTATTACTGTACACACAGATTACTTTAGTTAAACCTTAATGTCAAGGGAAGGCGCTGAACAATGAATCAGTTGTATTGAAGAATGTGTTGTAATGATTTTAGTTTTTCTGCAGAAAAATCTCTCGGCTTCAGAATTCAGCATAAGAAAAAAAGCTATCCACTAATAACTTGCTTAAGAATTAAGTTTAAGGCAAAGGCACACAAAAAGTATGTAATAGTTCACTTGGAGAGGCAACATGTATTATCTTAGATTCTTGGAAAATATATCTCAAATAGTATCATTTTTAGGGGTGGACAGGACTTTGCTTTTAGGTCGGGACAGGACAGGGGTGGATTTATATTTCTTTCCTGATTTATGAGAGAGGTTTGTGGCCAGATTTTTGCCTGTGCAACAAGGGCAACTTGAGTTTGTTTTTGTGTTTTGTTGTTTGTTTTGTTAAGGTCTTGAGTAAATGTTTTTTGCAAATGGCAATAATGACAAAAATACTGTTAATCTGCTGCGGCCATGTAGATATCATCATCGTCTCCCACGGTCATGGAAACGTCATCGTCATCATGCGTAATGGCTTCAAAAGTGGTAATCTTACAATCAGGCAATCTTCGCAGATTTCAAGTGCTAAAATGTTGTGAAAACTTTTAATTATGGCGATTAAAATTTTCTCCAATAATCTTAAACTAAAATTTGATTACTCCAGGTGTTCCAAAACTGGAGGACGCCAACGACGCAGGCACCAAGAACTCGCTGGATTGCACATTGATCCTGACTGAGGGAGACTCAGCCAAATCTCTGGCTGTGTCGGGTCTGGGAGTCGTGGGGAGAGACAAGTACGGAGTGTTCCCACTGCGAGGCAAACTGCTCAACGTCAGGGAGGCCACACATAAACAGGTGGGGGAACTAATGTATAGACATTCTATGACCCTGTGAAAGTTGTAGCCAGTAGGTAGATTTGTGGTCATCGGGCAACGAGTCAATGTGTCATAAACTACTGTGTAAAAGTCAAGTCGCCCTGAAGTAGGATACAACACTAGAATCGAAGCCGAAACTTCGGTGAATCAAAGTGGTTTTGTAGATTGACAAAGTCGCCGCCTGAAAACCATGAACGTACAATAAGTGAAGGTGGAAGCTCATCCTGGAAAAAATGAACATAGTTAAATTCATCCATAAACTTTACAAGTGTGTTAATGTAAATTACTGAGTTTTGTTAAATACTCCAACTGAGCCAAACCGTAAGAAACACGTCCTGTAAGCTGTGATGATTTTTTCATAAAGGGTAGAATTCTAGCTTACCTGATAAGTTAGGATTCAAGGGCTGATAGCTACACAATATCATACACACAACTTAACACAGATATTCCCTCCCAAATGAGGATTTCTCCAGAGTTTAGGTTGAAGAGAAATGTTACTACATTTACAATAGCATTTAAGTTTGAATAAAAAAAACACGCAATAAAAACTGTACTTAGTTCATTTGATAAGTTATAAGGTATTTAATAAGTTATAGTCTTTTAGCCTTGATCAGAATGGCACAACCCAATATATAAGGCTGTAAATTATATAGTTAAATGTTTTTTTTGCATTTTTTGTAAATGTCTCCTAAAAAAAAACATAGGTACACCCGCCGCTTGCGCATTATAGTATTAGGATGATCAACTATAATGTCAGACTAGGGAGAAAGTACATTTATTTTTGATTTTGCTACATTTTATCGATTCTTAAGCTTGAGACTAACTATGTCATCTGTTTCAGATTTTGGAGAACGCTGAGATTAACAACATAATCAAGATTGTGGGACTGCAGTACAAGAAGAAGTATGAGACTATAGATGATCTGAAGACGCTACGTTACGGACGACTCATGATCATGACAGATCAGGATCAGGTAGGGTCCAACAAGAGCACTCAGCATCACCTGTTGTGTACATTTTACCTGATAACTTAAAAGTTTCAAGTTGAATTTCTTGCTTAAAAACCATGCTTAACCACCAAATACTATGATATGCAAATATGTTTCATCCAGATCATTTCCTCTAAGATCATATGAACTTTACAAAACTTCTTGTGTTCTAGGACGGCTCGCATATCAAAGGACTGATCATAAACTTCTTGCACACCAATTGGCCGTCGCTGCTAAAGCTTCCATTCCTCGAGGAGTTCATCACTCCCATCATCAAGGCATCCAAGGGCAAAGAGGAAATTAGTTTCTACTCTCTACCAGAGTTTGAGGAATGGAAGAGAGATAAGGATAACTGGCATACGTACAAGATCAAGTACTACAAAGGTAATGTTTTTCTACATGTCCGTCTAAGGTTAGCAAGAGTGTAGATTATGTCTTTCTTTTTTTTGGGGGGGGGGGGCTTCCATATTTGTTTGATCATAGATTCACTTTTCTTCCTTGATGTCCAATCCATCTTAAATCTAAATGTGAGCTTTTTGCTTCCTCCATGTTCTTTTGTTAGTCAGAATATATCCCTGAATGCAGAAAAGTTTTTAGCTTTTTCTAGAATCTATGTTTCAGATCTATTTAAGACAGTTATTCATATTACTGTTTAGTGCATATGTTTTTTAGTTTTTTTTTGTTTTTTTTATTTGAGTTATATTAAATATTCAATTATATAGGCTAAGTTAATTTCCAAACTATAATTCCACTAATGAATAATCATAAAAACCCTAGATTGGTACTCAACAATTTCTGTCTCTTGTTAGGTTTGGGTACCTCCACATCAAAGGAGGCCAAAGAATATTTCTCTGACATGAAGAGGCACAGAATCCTGTTCAAGTACAGTGGTGAGGATGATGACAAGCACATCCTGATGGCATTCAGCAAGAAGATGGTCGACTCTCGTAAAGAGTGGCTCACAAACTGGATGAGTGACTGCAAGCGGCGAGCGGAACTTGGTGAGAACAAACCAGCCTCTTACTAACCTTGAATCTTCCCATTCTTTTATACCTTTGTGTGAAACGTATCAACAAAGCAAGAGGTGAGCCGGTACAATACCAAAATTAACTGCACTGATAACTCATTATGGGCAACTCCTTGGCCATCATTAGATCTGAAGAAAACTCTCTCTTCCTTAATTGAAAATGCTGTCAGTGGCAGTGAAATATTCTTGTTTTGTGTTTATGGTAAACATTTTTTTCTTGTGCCAGTTTGTACTCTTTCCCATTCAGGTAAGCCACGTTATCCCCATAAAAATCGTAAAACCCTAGGTCCTTGTGCTCTATGTTACATCCTTAACTTCTCAAAAACTTGTTTAACTTCAAGCAAGATCAACTATAGGGCTTGTGTCTGTTACCTCAGCAATGCATTAATTATGAAAGAATTTTCAGTATTTACCAATGACTATGGTAGTGACAGTGTATGTGTGTGTTTAGGTTTGCCCGAAGATTACCTGTACACCAAGACCACACGAGTGGTATCGTATAAGGACTTCATCAACAAGGAGTTGGTTCTATTCAGTAACATGGACAACGAGAGATCCATTCCTAACCTGGTCGACGGACTCAAGCCCGGTTCGAGAAAGGTGAGGAGAAATTTCTATTTCAAGAAATGAGTTACTGAAAAGTTATTTTAACCCACCATTAACATCCAAATGCCACAGATTAGACTATCTATTATTAACTGAGTAGTTGAGTAGTTATTCTGCTTGTCTCGCCTAATAATCAAGAGGTTGCCAGTTTGATCTATGAGCCAATGTGATAGCTTTTTGATGGTTCGACACTGGACACAACTGTCCTTGACCATTTGGCGTTTGACAAGATGTCCTGGATTATGACATCCAGGTTTTAGTCTGTAACACAGCTTGCTCAGGTCACCCTGCATTTAGCCTACATTCAGCTTAAAATTTGCATTGATGACTTAAATAAGTGATAAGCTATCAGTATATTGCTAGTTTACTCAGTTAAGGAAGTTAAATTACTTGTTGGCTCAGAAGTGTTTTGCCCAAGAGATATTCTCATAAACATAGGGACAGTGTAGTGAAGTTCATACAAGATTAAAGTACCAATCACGCTCTCCTGAAAAATATCAAAAGTGTGACTGAACATGTTTTTAGCCTGTGGTCTTCATTTGTTAGTGTTTTGAACTGCAGTAAAACTCCAATTATCCAAACTCCAACCATCCGAAGCACCGATTATCCTAATCACTAACAGATAGAATTCTAAAACCTAAAACTACAGTGATAAGAACCGTTTTCAAAGAAAGTTGAAACCGTAAACGCATCAAAATCTCCCACAGTCCTCTTGCTGACTTGCTACTTTGGGTAAACATTATAGTCTTCTGTGATTGCAGCAAAATCTTGAATTTCTTCTCCCGTGGTCTTGTACACTCCCGTGGTCACAAAAAATCATCCTCCTCCGCATTTACGGCTGAATTTAAGCAATTTAAAGCTGAATTTTTGATAGCAAAATCTTAGCAAATGTGTTCTGCTATCACAGTGGTAAAAGCTTGTTTCAACTTGGCCTATTTTATTTTCTATAAAATACTCTGATTTTCAGTAAAAAACTAAATTTCTGACTATCAAATGTGGTACGGTCCCAATTGATTCAGATAGTTAGAGTAAATAAATAAATATATCTTTATTGTCACATGACGTTTTACACATTAAATAGCAAAAGCTACAAAAACATTGTTAACATATTCATAATGGTACCTAAAATACTTAAAATGCACAGAACACATAAAATCACACACATAATTTACTTAATATTTCGCCTCTTTCAGAGGTAGGCCTAGATGGTAGTTACAAAACAACAGTTTAAATAGGATGACACAGTTTGAATTCAAAATGTCTGACAGGTTGTCCAACTGACACTGCACAAAGCACTAAATGCAGGCACATTGCAATATTGTATTTACATATAATATGTACATTGAAAAGCAAATTAGTTTTGTCCATACCCGGGCTCATAGACCGGGCTCATACCCATGCAATGAAAACCGATGTAAATCTTGCCAGATACACCATCCTACAGAAACTTTTACCAGCACATACCATAATAAAAATTACAGAATCCAAGGCCATCATACCTGCAGCTCAGAGAACCTTATCTACCAGCTTCAATGTTCACATTGTCCAGCCCAGTACATAGGCCTAACAACCGAGACTCTCCGAAAACGCATGAACGGCCATCGACATGATGTTAAAACTAGCAAAGAAAAACCAGTTGCACAACATGCCTTATCCCACCAACTTCTATTTGATGACTGTTTCACCATAAAAGCTCTAAAATCATTGCCAAAGAACCAATGCAATAGTTCAATGCTCAGAAGATGGGAATTAGCTTACCAGTTTGTGACCAACTCCAGAACCCCACCTAACCTCAACATTAGATAATATCCTCATATCCTCACCCTCACAGCTAACTCTTAAGTATTTATTTTCATGGACAAAACTAATTTGCTTTTCAATGTACATATTATATGTAAATACAATATTGCAATGTGCCTGCATTTAGTGCTTTGTGCAGTGTCAGTTGGACAACCTGTCAGACATTTTGAATTCAAACTGTGTCATCCTATTTAAACTGTTGTTTTGTAACTACCATCTAGGCCTACTTCTGAAGAAGCCTCTGAAAGAGGCGAAATATTAAGTAAATTATGTGTGTGATTTTATGTGTTCTTTGACTCATCTGCAACCTTTCATCAGGTGAGTTAGCTGTGTCCTCTCCATCCTATATTTATTTATTTAATCCAAGCTAAATGCTTTTTCCTAAAAACATAACCTTAAAGTGACAAATCTTTTCACTCTTTCCTTTACTCCTTTCTTTCCTTAGTGTTACTGTCCAACTATCCTATCCACTATGAACCTATCTTCCTTTTGGCTAAAACAAGCCAAACAACATGCTTTCAAATTATCAAAAATTATATGTCATGTACATTTCCTGAGTTCTTGCCTTACTCTAGGCCTAACTCCAGTGGGCCTAACTGTAAAACCAGCCATCAGTGGCATGCCCCCTAATATGTGGCCTGCTATATTAGCCCTAGCCTACAAACAATCAATAGATTTGACTAAATCTGTCCTACAACTGTACTCTGAACAAATGTATAACCACAGAAAGGCTCTTTCTGACCTCACAAAGCTGATTTTGAATGACAAACCACAACTAGCAGATAATCTCAATTCAATAGCACAGAAAGCCTTAATTAATATGAACAAAGAAGCTGAAAGAAAACTCAGAAAACTCTCTAACCTTTGTATCAAACATATACATCAATATGGATCTATAGGCCTAGCCCAACAAACCCAACCACATCAGGTTCCTCTAATCTCAGATAGGCCTTGTCTGGCCTCCCTCTTAGGACTACCTATACCAGTAGGCCAAAAACCCTTTCTACCTAAACCACCGAAGATTCCTACTTCCCCATTCAAGAGCAATTCTGTCCCAAACAACCCTGAAACCTCTACAAATGAACAACAAGTTTGCAACTTATCCAACCACCAGCTCTCAGAAATAGAAAAAACAGTTTTGACCAAGGGTCTCAGTTTTTGTCCCACACCCCGTTTTGACCATTTTGGCCTAGTTAAAGACATCATGTCGCTAGCTAGAAACCTACGTCTCAAACATTATTTCAACTCACAAGATCAAGACAACTCGAAATCCAACAGTGTGGCGCCCTCCCTAGCGAAGTTTGCTCCACCCTCGGACTTCGATCCCCCTCCGTTACCAGCAGACCATCCGATAGAACAATACATCAACTTCTTGGTACAAAACATCTCAGATCCCACTTTCGAAAACAACGTAACCTCTACAACACTCCATAACCTCACCGAAGCCGAGAAAAAAGCCATTTCAACTTTAAAATCAAATACTGATATCATGATCCTTCCAGCTGACAAAGGCTCGACCACAGTGATAATGAATAAATCTGATTATGTGTCAGAAATCCAACGCCAGCTCAGTGATTCTTCCACCTACCTCCCTCTGAAAGAAGATCCAACTATAAAGTACACCGCTGAACTCAAGGAAATAATTTACAAACACTCCAAATCCAACAATATCTCCCCAGAAACAACAAATCTGTTAATACCAGAAGAACCCATCTGCCCTAAAATCTACATATTACCAAAAATCCACAAAGGCATAACACCACCGCCAGGAAGGCCCATAGTATCAGGCTGCGGTTCTTTAACGGAACGTATCTCTTCATACGTAGACGCCTATCTACAACCGCTAGTACAAAACTTGGCCTCATATATCAAGGACTCCAATGATTTTTTGCAAAAACTTAACAATGTCAGACAACCACTCCCCGCTAACACTCTCATGGCCACTATTGATGTCACCTCACTCTACACAAACATACCTCATGTCCACGGCCTAACAGCAACAGAAAACTACCTTCAAAACAGACCCAAAGGATCCCTACCCACCACTTCGTTTATAACTCAACTGATAAAATTCATTCTGGAAAAGAACTATTTCCAATTTCAGGACAAACACTTCCTACAGATCAAGGGCACTGCCATGGGTACAAGAATGGCCCCATCTTATGCTAATCTCTACATGGGGAATTATGAAGAAAAGTTTTTGTCTAGCCGTGAACACCTCCCCATCTGCTGGTTTAGATACATTGACGATATTTTCATAATTTGGACCCACGGTGAAGAATCACTACGGAAGTTCCTGGAAGACCTCAACAGTTTTGGACCGCTAAATTTCACCTGGGATTTCTCTGAGACTTCCATCAACTTTTTAGACCTTACAATTCATCTAAGGAACAATAGCCTCACCACATCTATCCACATAAAACCGACCAACCACCAACAATACCTCCATTTTTCTAGTTGTCATCCGAATAACACCAAGAGATCACTTCCTTACAGTCTTGCCCTAAGGGGAAATCGCCTAATTTCAGAACCGAAAGACCGTACACAATACCAAACCCAACTTCAAAAAGCCTTCGAAAACCGAGGCTATCCTAGCACTCTCGTAAAATCTCAGATCCAAGCGGCTCAGAACCCACGTCCAACTACAAAGAAAAATACCAACCATCTTCAAGTAAATTTGATAACCACTTACCACCCTGGCCTGCAACAACTAAACAACCTCCTTAAAACAGGTTTCAAAATCCTAGAGTCCTCCAGCCAAACCAAAAACCTCCTTTCAAGAGCCCCTTCCATAATCTATAGGCAACCCCCAAATTTGAGGAATATGCTAGTCCACCCAAAACTCCCAAATCCATCAAAAATACCATCTGAGAAACCAAGACCGGGCTCATACCCATGCAATGAAAACCGATGTAAATCTTGCCAGATACACCATCCTACAGAAACTTTTACCAGCACATACCATAATAAAAATTACAGAATCCAAGGCCATCATACCTGCAGCTCAGAGAACCTTATCTACCAGCTTCAATGTTCACATTGTCCAGCCCAGTACATAGGCCTAACAACCGAGACTCTCCGAAAACGCATGAACGGCCATCGACATGATGTTAAAACTAGCAAAGAAAAACCAGTTGCACAACATGCCTTATCCCACCAACTTCTATTTGATGACTGTTTCACCATAAAAGCTC